GATAATTTCTTTTTTTTTTTTTTTTTTTTTTTTTTAACAGAAGATCAGTTTAGTGTACATTAAGTAAAGATTTCAATCGTTTGCACCCCCATAGAAACACAAAGTGAAATATACTGTTTGAGTACTCGTTATAGCATTAAGCCTCAGTGTACAGCACATTAAGGACAGAGATCCTACATGAGGAGTAAGTGCACAGTGACTCCTGTTGTTGACTTTACAAATTGACACTCCTGTCTATGGCATCAGTAATCTCCCTATGCACCAGTCATGAGTTTCCAAGGCTATGGAAGCCCCTTGAGTTCTCCGACTCTTATCTTGTTTAGACAAGGTCATAGTCAAAGAGGAGGTTCTCTCCTCCCTTCAGAGAAAGGCACCTCCCTCTTTGAAGACCTGTTCTTTCCACTGGGATCTCACTCACAGAGATCTTTTTGCCAGAGTGTCTTGGCTTTCCATGCCTGAAATACTCTCATGGGCTTTTCAGCCAGATCCGAGTGCCTTTAGGGCTGATTCTGAGGCCAGAGTGCTATTTAGGACATCCGCCATTCTATGAGTCTGCTGAGTATCTCACTTCCCATGTTGGATCACTCTCCCCTTTATTTATTCTATCAGTTAGTGTTAGCAGGTACTAGACTTGTTTATGTGCTCCCTTTGACTCTTAGTCCTTTCATTATGATCAATTGTGAACTGAAATTGATCACTTGGAATAGTGAGATGGCATTGGCACATGCCACCTTGATGGGATTGAATTGGAATCCCCTGGTAACCTTGATTATTTAATTAAGGGGATGTATAACAGTTTTCTCCAGTAAAAAATTCCTATTTTCTAATTTGTAATTAATAGATATTTGGGGGAAAATAATTTGGCACTATGTAAATACCCTGTTTTACCTTAAACTTCTGCCCACTTAGTTTAACATCCATTCTTATCTTGTTTCCTGCAATTAATACTATAGTATCATAGTTGTGGTTTTTGATTTCTCTTATTTTTTCTATATTTGTTAATTTGAATTTTGTAAAGAGTATTTGTACATTTTCCATTTATTTACTAATTTCGTAGTTTATTTGTGTTATTATGTGGCTTTAAGTATCTTGATTTTATTCTTTGATAATCCATTACCATCAGTTTTTGCTGTATTTCCTCAGATTGTTTTCAGCCTTTCATGATGGCTTCTGTGTCCTGTCCATGTGCTCCTTCCTTTTTTTCTTTTGTGCATATTCTTGGCTTTGTGGCACCACAGGTAATCCAGGCTCATCCTGTATTTTCTTGAAATTAACCACTTTTCTGAGCAACCCTGATATTCTTTTTTTTTTTGAGGCTGGTGTTTGGAAACCTGCATATGGGTGCTAGGTGTGCTTACAGCTTCCAGAGCCATATCAGCCCTATCAACAAGGTTAGGAAACACACAGATGTAGGAGTAATGACCCAAGCACACATATAGCTCTCTATTTCTATACCGCTGTATTTGTGTGTTTAAAAAAATCAAAAATTTATACTGATTCTAATCTGGCCCTATAAGGCCAACTTTATCTTCCTCTTTTTATTATTTATAACTTTTTTTAAAGAAGAATTATTTTATTTATTTGAAAGGCAGAGTTACAGAGAGGCAGAGGGAAGAGAGAGAGAGGTCGGTCTTCCATCCGCAGGTTCACTCTCCAGATGGCCACAATGGTGGGAGCTGTACTGACCTGAGGTCAGGAGCCAGGAGCTTCTTCCCAGTCTCCCATACAGGTGCAGGGGCCCAAGGACTTGGGCTATCCTCCACTGTTTTCCCAGGAACATAGCAGAGAGCTGGATTGGAAGTGGAGCAGCTGGGACTCGAACCTGTGCTCATATAGGATCCCAGCACTGCAGGCGGTGGCTTTACCCACTATGCCACAGTGCTGGCCACATTTATAACTTCTTAAATGGAAGCCTGGCTCATATTGTCTACAATGTATTTATTTATGCCTTTCAATCCTGACTTACACAGAGAGCAATCTCAAAGCTACTGATTTCCACCCCTGTAGAAACCAGTTTGCCACCTAGAAAGCAGTGTTTGTGTAGGTTGTTTCGCTATTTCAGTCAAAGCTCCATTTTCCAGTTACTTAGTACCTTTCTTCTCCACTCCATTATTTTTACTCAAAGTAAAAGAAACAGGTGATATTAAAAACCACTGGACATATTTATATTGATCTGACTTTAATTTTCTGTCTTCTTTTTGGTGTATGACCAGACAACATTGTAGATTTTTAGTGTTGATAGAGCTCATGCTTTTCGGACTTGCCACAGGGGAATTGTCTGTAAAGTCTTTCATGACCTCTCTCCGAATGTAGGATTGACTGCTTTTTTTTTTTTTAGGTCACCTACTTGACCATCCTGCACCTTTGCAAACCCCTTGAGGTCATTCATAGATATTGAGTATTTCTGCGTTCCCAATCCGTTGCCATTTCTGGTGCATAGAAAATTGTAATAAATCTTTAGTGAATGGAGAAAGATCTGAATAGACTTGACTAATATGAAATTTTTCTGTTTCTGTGAATTTATACTATTTTCTTAAAAACCTTGGTATAGGAGTAAACACGGAAGTACTAACTTCATTCCAGAACAATTTTTGGATGACTTCATTGATCTTGTTATCTGGGGCCATGAACATGAGTGTAAAATAGCTCCCACCAAAAATGAACAGCAACTCTTTTATGTATCACAGCCTGGAAGTTCAGTGGTTACTTCTCTTTCCCCAGGAGAAGCTGTAAAAAAGTGAGTAATTGTTATATATTCTGAATCAATGTTGCAGAAGTTCTTGCTATAATAACTTAGTAACCATCCCATATGATCAGAGTACTGGCTGTGGTGTTATCCATATGATTGATGTGTTTGTGGAGGTTGATCATTCTGGGCAGTCTTTTTTTTTTTTTTTTTTTTTAAGGATTTATTTATTTGAGAGGCAGAGTTTCAGACAGAGAGAGGGAGAGAGAGAGGGGTCTTCCATCCTCTGGTTCATTCTCCAGATGGCCGCAGTGACCTGAGCTGCGCTGATCCGAAGCCAGGAGCCAGGAATTTCTTCCAGATCTCCCACACAGGTGCAGGGGCCCAAGACTTGGCCATCTTCTGCTGTTTTCCCAGATCATAGCAAAGAGCTGGATCTGAAATGAGCAGCCAGGACTCTAACCAGTGTCCATATAGGATGTTGGCACTGCAGGCGTGGCTTTACCCACTATGCCATAGTGCCGGCCCCTCTGTGTAGTCTTACTGTTTTTTTTTTTTTTTTTTTCAAATATTAAGCTATTGTCAACGAGAGCATCCACTGATATAGACTTTTCTGCTCATTAGGAAAATGCAAGACTAACATTTTTACTTATTAAATTTTAAATTAGATGCTATAAATCAGGGGTAGGAAACATCTGGTCTGTGGGACTTATAAGGTTGACAAAATCATTTGGTCTGGTCCTGCCAAGGCAGCTGTGAGTAGGACTCAACATTCAGTAGATCTGTAGCAGGCTAATTTTTAAATTAATGATTTTGTGTGGCCCACAGATGATGTTATAAATATCCAGATGGTCCTTGGCAGAAAAATGGTTTCCCTCCCTCTGCTCAGTGATGATTATCAGTGTCACAAAATCCATTTATAAAGGACCCTCTCCAAGAGCGTTTAATTGAGATTCATATGAGTATAAATGTAATATTACGTATTTCATTTTAAAGATTTTTCAGCAGAATGATGTGGTTTTTAAAAAAATCAGTTAAGAATGATTAAACTCAGTTTTTAAAGAAAACATTTATTTATTTGAAAGGCAGTTACAGAGAGGCAGAGGCAGAGAGAGACAGAGCAAGCAAGAAGAGGTCTTCCATCTGCTGGTTCACTCCCCAAATGGCTGCAACAGCCAGAGCTGGGCCAGGAGCTTCCTCCAGGTCTCCCACGTGGGTGCAGGAGCCCAAGGACTTGGGGCATCTTCTGCTTTCCTAGGCCATAGCAGGGAGCTGGATCGAAATTGAAGTATCCGGGACTTGAACCAGTGCCCATATGGGATGCTGGCACTTGAGGTGGTGGCTTTACCCACTGTGCCGCAGTGCTGGCCTCTAAACTCAACTTTTATAATGGGTTTTACCCTTTGAATGCACTCAAGTTTAATTGTTACGATAATAATAAGTGTAAAGAATATGGTAGAAGATGTATAGGTGTTGGATTATTCCTTCATGATTCTTTGCTGGCTCATCTTAAGTATGTGTGTACATGCATACACACATAATGCATATATATATATAATATATTCCATATACAGTACCCTCATAATCCTGATAGAATTTTATTACACTTCTTGAGATGTCTTTTATGAGACTTTATATTAGGACAGGAAAAGTGATGGATGAATGGATTTTATTCTGAGGAAGAAGAATGTTTACTGTTTTTATCTGTGATAACATTAAGATTCCATTCCCCAAATATTTTTAAAGGTACAATTACATAAAGAAATAGTTTGTAGAAACCAAGTTAGAAATCTGATAACTTTGATGTGCATGTTTTCCTAAGATTTACATTATGACTAGGCTGACCCTTCTCTCCCTTTCAGACATGTTGGTCTGCTGCGTGTTAAAGGGAGGAAGATGAATATGCAGAAAATCCCGCTTCACACGGTGCGGCAGTTCTTTATGGAAGATGTTGTCCTGGCTAATCATCCCAACATTTTTAACCCAGATAACCCTAAAGTAACCCAAGCCATACAAAGCTTCTGTTTTGAGAAGGTAATTCTTTGAGATAAATCCATGAGCCCTACTTTACTTGAGAAATCACTTACCTTCTATCACATAATTCCATAGAGTGGTGGGAAACTTTTTTGTATTTATTATGGTCTTCTGAAGCCAGAAAAGAGCCACTATCATTCTGTGAATGAGTTCAGTAAATGAGTGTAGGTGTGTCAAACCTCTTTTTTTTTTTTTCTTTGTTTAAGTTATTGGGATGGAGGAATGCTAGGTAAAGCAAAAAGCTTTCATTGAACCCCTCTCCCAGTTCCTTTTCCTCCAAGTTCCAAAAACATACACATAATTTTGTCTCCTTTTTTCTCCTTAGTTGGTGACTTGTTCATTTTATTTGTGAAAGCAGGCAGTGAGTTTGGGGAATAGGAGGATGTTGTGACCCTTGGGGAAAATCCTTAGTTAGCCTAATAATCTCCATTAAGTATCCCATTAGCCCAAAAGCTACTTGAAATAAAGTCTTTTTTTTTTAACTTTTATTTAGTAAATATAAATTTCCAAAGTACAGTTTATGGATTACAATGGCTCCCCCCCCCCCATAACTTCCCTCCCACTCGCACCCCTCCCATCTCCCCCTCCCTCTCCCATTCCATTCACATCAAGATTCATTTTCAATTATCTTTATATACAGAAGATCGATTTAGTATATATTAAGTAAAAGTTTTTTAATTATTTATTTGAAAGTCAGAGTTACAGAGAGATTTTGATCTTCCATCTGCTGGTTCACTCCCCAGATAGATGGCCGCAACAGCCAGGATTGGGCCAAGCTGAAGCCAGGAGCCAGGAGGTTCTTCTAGGTCCCCCACATGGGGGCAGTGGCCCAAGCACTTGGACTATCCTCTGCTGCCTTCCCAGGCCATTAGCAGGGAGCTGGATTGGAAGTGGAGCAGCTGGACTCCAGCTGGCATCCATCCAAATAAAGTCTTTAAAATGTGTTTGCTGTTCACCTTGTAGCTTCTGTACACCTTGTACTTTCTGTTACAAGTAGATTGCCACCCTTAAGCTTCTAGAGCCACTTCTGAAGTTGGGTGAATGCACTAATAAAATGTGGGTTGACAACTCAAAGCCATTCATTGCTGACACTTACTCAGTTCTAACTCTGTGCTAGCTGTTTTACTTTATATTTTACTCTCAAAAAATCATGTAAGGTAGTGATAACAATAATCAATATGATCACTAGTATTCACTGACTGCTTTTATGTGCTGTGCATTTTTTAAAAAGATTTATTTATTTATTTGAAAGGCAGAGTTAGAGGCAGAGAGAGAGAGAGAGAGAGAGAGGTCTTTCATCTGCTGGTTTACTGCCCATCTTGGGCCATCTTCTGTGCTTTCCTAGGCCCTAGCAGAGAGTTGGATCGGAAGTAGAACAGCCAGGACTTGAACTGGGGCCCATATGGGATGCCAGCACTGAAGGCAGTAGCTTTACCTGCTATGCCATGGTGCTGGCCTCCTCTGCCACTAACTTTGATGGTTTCTGTGTTAAGCTTTACCAAAAACAAGACATTTTCCCATGGTACTCCAAAGACTTATATTATCTTTATAGTTGAAAGAGTATTTTTCCTGGTATTTCCAAATCAACCCCACTGAGTTTCATTGGGCTTAAAGTTGAGTGTATAACCCAAAATTTGATCCCTGAAGCTAGAAAAAATGCACTGGAAATGGAAGATGCATTGACTGATTTTTCCATTGATTTCATCCAGTCTTGAGTCATGTGCCATTCTCTGGCATCAGCTCTAATTTTTTTGTTTTTATTTTAAAGATTAATTTATTTATTTCAAAGGCAGAGTTACAAAGAAAAATGAGAGACAGAGATCTTCCATCCACTGATTCACTCCCCAGATAGCTGCAATGGTCAGAGCTGGGCCAGGCTGAAGCCAGGAGCTTCTTCTGGGTCTCTCACGTGGGTACAGGGGCCCACTTGGTCCATCCTCTGTTGCTTTCCCAGGCACATTAGCAGGGAGCTAGATTGGAAGTAGAGCAACTGGGAATTGAAATGGTGCCCACATGGGATGCTGCTGCTGCAGGCAGCAGCTTAACCTGTTACTCCACAATGCCAGCCCTAAAATAAAGATATTGGTTTTGATGTTTTTGTCATATGCTTTATTCTAAAACCATGTAAAAATTACGATATGAAAAATTGAAGCAGAGCTTTATATTAAAATTTTCTGCTTCTTTCTCTTGGAAAGTTTTAATCCTTTAGTTCAGCCTTTTTAACACTGTGATACCAATAGCATAGATTTAAATTTCTAGACTCTAGGTAACTGAATTTTCTTAAGAAGTGCATTTCTGAGCTCTCTTAGGGGCTTTATCCTTTTCTGAGACCTTGAGATTTGTAGAAGCTACTTCAATGATTTTTTTATCTGATGTAGAACTTTCAATTATGCCATGTGGTTCTGTTGAATGGCTTAGAAAATATACATCTATACCTTTAGAAACATTTTTATTTACCATAAGTCCTTAGTGATCTTTCAGTACTTTTTCCTGGGAGCAGATGTTGATAGCATGCTAATATGGCATCTCACACTTAAATCTGTTTCAGGTATATTATTAACATTAAAGAACATCTTGTTCACGTAGATACATCTGCAGTAAGAATTTAGAAACTTAGATAATGTTAAAATTATTGTAGATCATCCTTGAATGATCCAGCTTGCTTCAGTTGTACTTAAAAGTGGAGAAATTTTACTGTATAGATGCTAGGTATAATTTTTTTTTAATTTTTTTTGACAGGCAGAGTTAGACAGTGAGAGAGACAGAGAGAAAGGTCTTCCTTCCGTTGGTTCACCCTCTAAAATGGCTGCCACGGCCGGCGCGCTGTGCCGATCTGAAGCCAGGAGCCAGGTGCTTCCTCCTGGTCTCCCATGTGGTGTAGGGCCCAAGGACTTGGGCCATCCTCCACTGCCTTCCTGGGCCACAGCAGAGAGCTGGGCTGGAAGAGGAGCAACTGGGACAGAATCCGGCGCCCCGACTGGGACTAGAACCCTGGGTGCCAGTGCCGTAGGCGGAGGATTAGCCTGGTGAGCAACGGCACTGGCCATGTATAAGTTAATACTACTCATATCTTTCAAAATGAGTGTGTAATATGTGTCACATACCTAGTTGTTACTGAGGACAGAGCTGACAAGGAGACTTGAGAAAACAGGCTGTAAAAACCATTGTGGGACAAATCAAGCCAGTAGATTTCATGCTAGGTTTAAACAGAAGAATGTTGTCCTACTCCTTATCAGCATGTGACCTGCCACCCAGTTACAGTGAGAAACAAACTGATCTTTTCTCACCTTTTTATTCTGATCTTAACAATGACCCAGGCTTAATTCCACAGATTCACTCCCCTAATGGCAGCAACGGCTGGGGTTGGGCCAGGCTGAAGACAGGAGCCAGGAGCTTCTTCCAGCTCTCCCACATGGATGACAGGGTCCCAAACACACAGGCCATCTTCTGTTTCTTTTCCCAGGCCAATAACAGTGAGCTAGATCAGAAGTGGAGCAGCTGGCATTTGAACCAGTTTCCATATGGGATGCCAGTGCTGCAGGGGGTATCTTAACCCACTGGGTTTTAGCACCATCCCCAGCCCTAGGTTTTTAACTTTGGCTTAGTTGACATTTTAGACTAGATAATTCTTAGCTGCAAGAAGCTGTGTTGTATACTGTAGAATGTTCTGCACTGTTTTCCTTGTCCTCTGCCCACTAAATGCTAGTAGCACCCTTCCCCCAAGTCATGACAATCAAAAATGTTTTCAGTATTGTGACAAAATCACTTACTGGATCTAGTGTACCTAAATCCTGTGGACTTTGAATGGAGGTGTGGAATTCGAGAGGAATGTTTTTGGGGTCTGATCTAAAAAAAAATCCATGTGCATTTCAATATCCTGAAGTGTCTCCTTATGTTTTCTTCCAGTAGTTTCAATCTTTCAGATCTTACAGTTTGGACTTAAGTCTGCTTTGTGTTGATTTTTCATTCATGGTGACAGTTAGGGTGCTAGTTCCATTTTTCTGGATGGATGTGGAGATCCAGTTTTCTCAGCACCATTTACTGAAAAGACTGTACCTTTGTCAATGATCAGTTGGCTGTATCCTGTTCCATTGATGTATATGTCTGTTTTTATGTTACTAGAAGTACCTACGGATTCTGGCCTGGTGACAGGACTATTAGTATCTGCCTAGTTTGAGTTTTACCTGCACAGTCCTAAGGCACAGGCTGACTGCCCAAGGATGGGGGAAGGGTGATGAGGCAGCCCATTGATTGCCCAGTCTGACAGTAATCTGCCTCACACCTGGTCTCACAGTGGCCAGATGCTGTGCAATCTTGGGGATATATACCAGTCCCACAAGAGTCTGTTTCACTGGGACACAGGTTTCTGCCTGATGCAGGAGGATGTCTGGAAGCTAAGGTTGCAAGCACTGGTCTAGCGCTAGAGGCCTTTGGGCTTTATCAGCCTCTGGTTCTCACAGCCGCAGCCTGCTTTGACCTCCAAAACAAGGTCTTGAGTTTTCTTTCCTGCCCTATTTCACAGTGTCTGGTTTCTTGTCCGGTGGTCTGCTGGGGTTGGGGAGGGATGGTGAATTCTGATCTTTCTTCCTGGCTAAGAATGGTCCAAAATCTATATATATGTATGTATATAGGTATATATTTGAAAGGCAGTTACAGAGGGAGGGAGAGACAGAGATCTTTATCTTTGGTTCACTCGCAAAATGGCTATCTATGTTTAGAGTTGGGCCAGGTTGAACCCAGGAGCTTGGAATTTCATTCAGATCTCCCACATAGGTGCAGGGGCCTAAGTACTTGGGCCATCTTCTGCTGCTTTCCCAGGTACTTGGGAGCTGGATCAGAAGTGGAGCAGCTGGGACTTGAACCGGTGCCCATATTGGATGCTGGCATTGCAGACTGCAGCTTACCTCACTGTGCCACAATGCCACTCCAAAAGGACCCAAAAATCAGTCTGCTGGCACAATCCTGGGAGGATGTGGGACCCTATCAGATCTTGATTTTTAACATGGTAGGACTGGTACTGTATTTCAAGTCTAAAATCTAAACTGTCCTCCCAAGCAGTAGATGTTTCTGTTTACACTGTGCTACCTGTTGCTGGGAGATGGGTAATACAACAACTCTTCCCTTCCTGTTTTCTTTACTGTGTCTTTTCTTCTATTGTACTAAAACCAGGCACTGTGATCTTTCACCTGGGTTCTGGAGCTGTTGTGAAAGCTACTTGGTGTGTGAATAGCTGTTTAAATTGCTGGCTGTGGGGAGAGGATCACGGGAGCCACTACCCTGGGAAGCAACAGATGATAGCTCAAATTTTGCTTTGCCCCTCTGCTGAACCATTCAAGAACAGAACTCCTGTCCAATTATTCTCTCTTAGCCCTTGACCTAGTACAAAGCAAAAAAAGTGCAGTGTGATGTTTGAATGCAAAGAATTGATTATATTCTTACAGATTCATGCCATCTAATCACTAGTACATGTGGCTATTTTAATTTAATTTAAATTACATTAAAAATTCACTTCTTAGGTCAGACGTATGGCACAATGGTTGAAATACTGCTTCTGCATCCCATATTGAAGTGCTTGGTTTCCATTCTGGGCTCTGCTACCTATTACAAGTTTCCTGGTACATTCTAGAAGGCAGTAGGTAATGATGCAGAGTACCAGGATCCCTGCCACATGCCACACATGTTGGAAATCCAGATGAAGTTTTTTTTTTTTTTTTTTAAGATATATTTAATTATTTAAAAGGTACAGGAGGAGAGACAGAGAGAGATCTTCCATCTACTGGTTTGCTCCCCAAATGGCCACAATGGCTGGGGCAGGACCAGGCCGAGACCAGGACCAGACCGGGACCAGAAGCTTCTTCAGGTTCTCCCATGTGGGTGGCAGGGGTCCATCTTCCATTGCTTTTCCTGAGCCATTAGCAGGGAACTGGATCAGAAGTGGAGCAGCTGGTCCTCAAACTGGCACCCGTATTTGATGCTGGCATCCTAGGCGGCAGTATTACTTTTACACCACACCAGCTCCTAGATGGAGTTACTTACTTCTGTCTTTGGCCTAACCCAGCTCTGGCTATTGTAGGCATTTGGGGTGTGAACCAGTGGCTGGGAAATCTGTTTTTCTTTCTGCCATTCAAAGAAATAAAATAAATAAAAAAAATTTAGTTTCTTGTAATAGCCATATTTCAAGTTCTGTGTATCCATATGGTAATCATATTGAATTGTGTAGATATAAAACACTGCAGAAAGCTCTGTTGGACTGCTTTGTTGTAGTTTAAAGGACAAGATCAGAGGGGACAGATGTTTGGTACAGCAGTTAAGTTGCTTCTTGGAATGGCTGCATCCCGTATTGGAGTGTGTGGTTTAAGTTCTGGCTCCTTCAGTTATGATCCAGATTCCTGCTATATGCACCCTGAGAAGCAACAGATGATGGTTCAAGTATTTGAACCTCTGCCACCCATACCAGAGATGCGGAATCAGTCCTGGGCTCCTGGCTTTGGTGTGGCCCCAAACCCTACTGTTGTGGGCATTTGAGGAATGAACCAACTGATGGAAGATACTTATCTCTATTTCTGTTATCTCTCTCTCTCTCTCTCTGCCTTTCAAATAAAAAAAATACATAAATAACAAAATTTTAAGGACAAGATTACAAAATTTTAGACTTGAAAGAGATCTAAGGCCAAAAGCACTTGTTCTGTATTGTTCTTGAGGTCATAAACAAGGTATAAGATGGTGGATTTTAATTCCAACATAAGGATTTTCTAACAGCTACAGTCACTCAGCTATAAAGTTGCCTGTCTGAAGATAGCTAATCACTATGCACACAAGCATTTGTGAAAATGATTCTAGTCCTGCCTCCTTGTAACTTGATTCTCACCTCAGGAAAAATATAGAGCAATTTTTTTGCTCGAATTTTTTTCGAAGTCTAAATTCTATAATATTGTTCTCTTCTAACATGAGACAACCTCAGGTATTTCTAAACATTGCTCAGATTTTCTTTTATCTTGAACTCTTCCAAGAGAAATAATCCCAAATGCTTTACATGTAGACTCCTAAATATCCTTGTCAGTCTCTTAAGGGATGCTATTACTGAAAAATCTAGATTTCCTTGGTTTTAACTTGGTAAGATGAAGGAACCTATATTGAAACATGAATAAAGAATTGGAACAGGAATAATGTTTCAGATTTCTTCTAAAATAATTACTTAAGAGGCTGAGATTTTATTAAGAACTTTTGTGAAGGTAAACATTAAGGAATAGTTGTTAGTGGGAACATTGCAAGATGTGCTTTTTAAAGGCATTAAACATCTCCTAAAGTGGCCAGTGCTGTGACGCAGTGAGTTAAAGCCCTGGTCTGAAGCGCTGGCATCCCATATGGGTGCCGGTTCTAGTCCCAGCTGCTCTTCTTCCAATCCAGCTCTCTGCTATGGCCTAGGAAAGCAGTGGAAGGTGGCTCAGATCCTTGGGCCCCTGCACCCACGTGGGAGACCCGGAAGAAACTCCTGGCTCCTGGCTTCGGATCCGTGCAGTTCTGGCTGTTGACACCATTTAGGGAGTGAACCAGCAGAAGGAAGACCTCTCTCTGTCTCTCCTTCTCACTGTCTATAACTCTACCTCTCAAATAAATAAACAAACTCTTTAAAAAAAAAAAAATCTCCTAGGAAGTAAAGATGATCATGTAGTACAGGAAAATTCCTGTGGTATTTAGCTGATTTAAGGTAAATTTAGTATTTGTTTTTAATTTTTAATATTGTTTTTCATTTTGAGATTGAAGAAATGCTTGAAAATGCTGAACGAGAACGTCTGGGAAATTCTCGACAGCCAGAGAAGCCTCTTATACGACTGCGAGTAAGTTCTGTTTATATAAATTAAACTTTATTATAAATAATCTTTAGAATGTAATAATTTTTTTTGATTTATTGAAGAGTAGTAAGGGGAGTGCTTATGGTAATAAGAATAATCACCATTGAGGCAAAATAATGAACTACAAAGATTTGATTTTAACCATAGTTTGATTTGTTAGGGTTGATATTTTTCCTTGTTTTTGTCATTGTATAAATATTTTATTTAATAGATTGGCTCATATCTGTGACTTTTCTTTTGCTCTCACTCTTCTTGTCCTGTTCTAGGCATCTGGACCTTGTGGTCTCAAGCATGTCAGACACACTCTTTCCTCCCTCTAGTTGCTGAAATGTCACCTCACTGAGGCCCCAGCATTATAAAGCTGTCAGCCCCCATACTTCTATCACTCCTAGTTTCATGTCACTTCTCCTACTGTGTATAATTTATTTATATTATTGTTTGAATTGTTTCCTGTGCCTATATGTGTGCTTTTCCATTGTGATATAAACAAATAAATATCAATAGACCATTTCTTTGCCACTGTGCTTTTGCTTTCTCCTAGCTCCTTCCTTGTTTGTTTTCATTCTGTTCTAAGCCCTTGAGACACATGTGGCCTATCTTCTGTTATTTAGTCCATTGCAATCAAGTTTAAATTGTAACCTTCAGTCATCAAATCCAGTAATTTTTTTTCTCATCTTACTCTTTGGCATTCTTTGGATTGTCTTTATCCCCTCCTATCTCTTAGTTAACCTTCTTTTCAGTGAAGACATTTGTTTTTTTGTTTTTTGTTTTTTGACAGGCAGAGTTAGACAGTCAGAGAGAGAGACAGAAAGAAAAGGTCATCCTTCCGTTGGTTCACCCCCCTAAATGGCCACTATGGCTGGCGCACTGTGCCGATCTGAAGCCAGGAGCAGGTGCTTCCTCTTGGTCTCCCATGCGGGTGCAGGGCCCAAGCACTTGGGCCATCCTCTACTGCCTTCCTGGGCCATAGCAGAGAGCTGGACTGGAAGAGGAGCAACCAGGACTAGAACCCTGCGCCCATATGGGATGCCGGCACCGCAGGTGGAGGATTAACCAAGTGAGCCATGGCGCCGGCCCCAGGGCATTTGGTTTTAATGATTGTCTCTAGAGTGTTCACTCCCAAATACATATATACATAGCATTCCTTGTTGATCTGTATGTCCAGGGTCCCCTAAAACCTGATACTCAGAGTGTGGTCCTTAAACCAGCAATGTAGCATCATATGGGAAACTGTTTAAAATGCAGAATTTCTGACTCCATATCAGACTCGCTGCATTATAACAAAATCTCCAAGAGGTTTTTCCTATATATTGAAATTTGAAAGTCTTGGGGGTGTAGTGTGTGGAGGTAAGGTCCAGAGCCAAACTGCTTGGGTTTGGTTCTGGAATTGCCTTTAGTTGTAGAACTTTGAACAACTGGATCTCTTGTTCCTTGGTTTGTACTTTATACACTTAGGCGGTCCCAGTGACTTCAGTAATATCTGTTGTATAGTAAACAGTCTGGTTCCGTTTCTCTATCCCACTGTTGTTACTATAGTTGGACCACTGTTGTCACCTACAGACCTATACCTGCAGCATCCTATCTGAACTCTGCCTCCAATTTTCCCTTTCCTTGCCATGAGGCCTCCCTCTACACTGTGTCAAAATGTTCTTCCTAAAGTAATCTTGCACATCTATCCTGCTGACAATTACTTGATCCTATACTAACAAGAACAAGTGTAAACTTTTTAGGAGAGAACCCAGAATCTACAGGATCTGGTCTAAATGAACTTCTTTGATGACTTCTTCCTTTTCCTGTCCATGCATCCTAAGCTGCAGTCATATGGACGAAGTTACTGCACTCTGGGTCCCATGGAGTTATTTAGCCATGTGGACCCTGCTGCATAGAAGGCACTCCCTTCCTCCTTTCTTTGTACCTCCTTCAGCATCTGCTTGAAGCTTCCCTCCTCAAAGAAGCCTTTTTTGGCCTCCCCTCAGGGTTGTTGCTTCTTCCTTTGTATCCTCATTCTATATTGCACAACTTCTTAGAGCACCATTTACCGTCTCACAATTATTTATTAATTTTTTTTTTCCCGTCAGTTTGTGAATGTCTTGACTACCAAGATTTGTATCTCTAGCCCTTAATGGAATGCCTAGAATATTGAGGGTACTCAGTCAATTTGGTGTAATGGATGAATTTTGTAACTCTTAGGAGCAGAGAGTTATGAATATAGCTAGTGTGGAGTGTAATTGTTAATGTGTCTGAGAAATTGTGGGGAGACCAATAGCTTTAGCATTGATTATTTCCTCTTTTATAACATGGCAGCTGTAGAGATGGTCTGGATAATGCAACGTCATTTTAGAGGAACCACATGGTCTTCATCAGGCAGGGATATTTCTCATCTATTCCTGCCTGGTACCATTAGAATTAACCAGATTTAGTAGAACATTGGCATTCCTTTTCCTAAGCGTAGTAAATTATTAGTTCTGTCATGAAACCAAAAGCCAGAGAGTTGATGTATCTAATATGGTAGAAGTATATTGTATCAACTACCGGATACCTATTAATTCATTGAACAAACTTTACTGAGTAGCTTCTGTTAGAGATGCTGGGGGACACAGCGATGATAAACAGGTGAGGTTTTGAATTTGTTGAGCTTACAGGAGATGGAGGCGTGACGAGAGACGTGATAAACAAATAGGAAATAGATGAACAAAATGAACGAAAAACTTTGAGCATAGTGCTAAGTGTGATGAAGAATGTAAGTGGGTGGTGCTTAGGTTAGGGAGCACTCTGAAGAGGCTGGTGATGTGGGGCAGGGCTGGTGCCCAAAGCATACTTTGAGAACTGCTAGTTTAGGAAAATTATTTATAAATATCTCTTCAAAGGAGAGGGAGTATTACTCTTAGTAAAGGTCTGTTTACCACTGTAGACTTCCTTAGAAAGAGCCTGCCTTGAGAGAGGTTAATTCTAATGAGATACTATGTTTTAAAGGTAATAGTCTATTTCCTTCTGCTCATCAGTTTGATTTTTTTCTTCCTGAATTTTTTCAACATTTATCGTTGTTTATTGTAAAGACACATCCTTAAGATAAAGGATTAATTAACATATGCATCTAGGACTTGTATTTTATTTTAGTAGGGATTTTTCTTCCTTTTTTTTTTTTTAAACTTAGAATTTTGTTTAGAAATCCTGCCTCCTTTTCAGGTGGCATTTCTGGTATGTACTGAGACTGTTAGTGTTGTTGTTGGGACATGTAGTTTTTCCATTATTGTGGAAATTCTTGCTATGTTTTGTTTGATCCATTAAAGTATTTTACTTAAGTTTATAAATCTTGAAGCCATTATTTTCTCAGTAGAATAAATAATATAACACTGTCATAATCTTTAAAATGTATTATAGAGAGTAGGCCTTTAGCCTAGTGGTTAAGATTCCCATATTGCACCTTGGAGAGCCTGGCTTTGATTCCCAACTCTGGCTCCTGAGTCCAGCTTTCTGCTAATGCAGACCCTGGGAGACAGAACTGATGGCTCAAGTGATTAGGGAGCCTGGGTTGTATTCCTGAATCCTGGCTCTGTCCCCATCCCAGCCCTAGCTGTTTCAGACATTTGGAGAGTGAAACAGCAGATAGGAGGTCTCTCTCTCTCAAAATAAATAAAATTAATTAATTAATTTATTAAATATTTAGTTACTTATTTGAAAGGGACAGTTACAGAGAGAGAGGGAGAAAGAGAGAAATCAATCTTCCATCTGCTGGTTTACTCCCCAAATGGCTGCAACAGCGAGGGCTGGGCCAGGCCAAAGCAGGAGCCAGGAGCTTCATCTGGGTCTCCCAAATGGAGGATTTGAGCCATCTAGTGCTTTTCCAGGCACATTAGCAGGGAGTTGGATTGGAAGAAGAGCAGCTGGAACTCGAACTGATGCCCATATTGGATGCCAGTGCTGCAGGTGGGGGCTTTACCTACTACACCAAAGCACCGGCTTCAAAATAAATAAAATTTAAAATGCATTTTAGAAAATTAATTTATGAATTAAAAATATTGAGCATAGACACTGAAAAATGAGTGTGTTTCTCAACAATTACCAATTATTTCCTAGCCTTCATAGATTATTCTGTAATTACAGGTGGACTATAGTGGAGGTTTTGAACCTTTCAACGTACATCGCTTTAGCCAGAAATTTGTAGATCGGGTAGCTAATCCCAAAGATGTTATCCATTTTTTCAGGCACAGAGAACAAAAGGTAAAAACAGGTAAGATAGTTATTTTTATAAGCTAAAAAGTATTCTTTTAAAGTTTGTGCTAATCAATTTTTAGTAGCAAAAAAAAGTATAAAGTAATAGGGGAGGTGTTTTAGTATGATTGTGGCATCTTAGGCAAATAAAAATAATTAGAATAATTATCTTCATCTTCTACAATTAAGTAACAAGTACTTTTACACCTGTGTATATCAATGAAAAGATGGAAGGCTTTCTCTGGAAATGTAGTTTCTTGAAACAGTATTGCTTAGTAACAACATACACAGACTTTAGAGGTTTATTGCTCACAATAAATATTGATTACTTATTATACTTTTTTAATGTTCAGAGAATTTTTGTTTTCAAATTTTGAATTAAGTATTTTGACTAGAGTGTACAGTGGTTTGGGAAAACTTCAGACTTTTAAAGAGGTATCCCATAGTTTGATCTTTCTAATGTTAGATGTAATTAATTTCCAATTAAATTTCACCAAAACAAATTGCCCCTTTTTTTAGAACTTAAGTAGCAAGGTCATCTGACTGAAACAGTGCCTTTTCATAAGACATGCTAATCTTTTTAAATATAGTCTCTTCTCCTTAGAGATACTGAATCAGAGAATTTTCCATAGAAACATGGTCCTTCTTTCCCAATAAACTACCTAGATTTTTATTAGCCCAAATTACTGGGCTTTTATTTTCGTTGTCAAATTGTAATCAGATACCAAGTATGCTCTGAATTCAACCTCAAACAATCATTCAAATATTTAAATGGGACTCACATAGTAGTTTTTAGGAAAAATATCCATTTATAGAATTTTATTTTTATGCTCTAAATTTTAAATACTTTCTGATAATGGTTTACTAATTGTATATCCATTTCTTTAACAGTTATAGGGAAACAGAATATATAACTAGTAAACAGAATATATAACTAGTACCTTATTTTACTTGAGCTTAATCCCTAGTGAGTTTTGTTTTAGTAATCCCTTTTTTTGTTTAAACAAAAATTGCTCAGTGGGAACACTTCTGTCTTATTGGAAGCAGTCAGTAATGTGTGACACTGTATAAATTACTTAATGTCTTTGGTGTATAGTTTTCTTTTTTTTTTTCTTTTTTAAGATTTATTTATTTGAAACTCAGAATTACACAGACAGAGAAGGAAAGGCAGAGACAGAGAGAGAAGTCTTCTATCTGCTGGTTCACTCCCCAATTGGCCACAATGGCTAGAGCTGTGCTGATCGGAAGCTAGGAGATTATTCCAGGTCTCCCATGCAGGTACAGGGGCCCAAGGACATGGGCCATCTTCTACTGCTTTCCCAGGCCATAGCAGAGAGCTGGATCAGAAGTGGAGCAGCCGGGACTTGAACCAGCACCCTTATCGGATGCTAGCACTGCAGGCAGTGGCTTTACCTGCTACGCCACAGTGCCAGCACCTGTAGTTTTCCCATCTGTAAATCAGGATAACTATTTGCCGGCCTCATAGGATTGTGAGGATCAGATGATATATTGGATGTAAATGATCTTTACATAGTGTGTCATAATAAAATGTTGTGATCATATTTATGAAGTAATATTAACTCGCTTTCCTTCAACTTCAAAAACATTTTTATTGGCCGGCGCCGTGGCTCAATAGGCTAATCCTCCACCTTGCGGCGCCGGCACACCGGGTTCTAGTCCCGGTCGGGGCGCCGGATTCTGTCCCGGTTGCCCCTCTTCCAGGCCAGCTCTCTGCTATGGCCAGGGAGTGCAGTGGAGGATGGCCCAGGTGCTTGGGCCCTGCACCCCATGGGAGACCAGGAAAAGCACCTGGATCCTGGCTCCTGCCATCGGATCAGCGCGGTGCGCCGGCTGCAGCGGCGGCCATTGGAGGGTGAACCAACGGCAAAGGAAGACCTTTCTCTCTCTGTCTCTCTCTCTCACTGTCCACTCTGCCTGTCAAAAATTTAAAAAAAAAAAAAATTTTTTATTCAGTTTGCAAGAAACACACTGAACTTTGAACTGCTATTATTTCTGGGCCTTTGTAGGTACTTTTCCCCTGCCTGAAAAAAAACAAAACAAAACAAAACAAAAAAAACAAAACAAAACTTTTATTTGAAGTGCAGAGGCAGAGATCTTCCACTGTGGTTAACTCCCCAAATCTTTGCAACAACCAGGGTTGGGCCAGGTTGAAGCTGGGAACCCAGAATTCAGTCCAGGTTTCCCACATGGGTAGCAGTGGCTCAGGCATTTGAGCAGTCATCTGCTGCCTCTGCAGGAAGCAGATCAGAAATGGAGGAGCAATTACTCAAACCAAGTGCTCCGATATGTGATGTGGGTATCCCAAGCAGCACCGTAGCTGCTATGCAAAATTCTTGCTCCCTTTTTTCTTCTTGTCAATGAATCCTGTGTATTCTTCAATCGTTGATTTCAATGGTATATGCATTGGATACCTGCACTTTATGTTAAGCCTTTTTTGAGAAGAATTAATTGCTTTCTTCCATGTGTCATATTCTCTTATGCCTCTAACATTCTACATCATTGTACTCATGTATTCTCATGTACAGAGATCCTGGCTTTTTCACATCGTTGTGTTTTCAGCAGCTGCACCTACTAGATAACACTCAGCGTTAACTGACAGAGGTTATTGTCAGAGTAGATACTGGTCCCCTGTGTCCTGACTTCCTGCCCAGCATTCTCTCTTCTGTACCTGCTGTTTCTGGAGACAGTGTTTTGTTTAAGGATGCAGCAGATGGACTTTAAGCATGCTATTTTTTTGTCTCACAGAGAGTTAAGAAAGATAAACAGATTAAACTGATAGTTCTTTTTTTTTTTTTTTTAAGATTTATTTTATTTATTTGAAAGAGAGGTAGAGTTACAGAGAGAGGTAGAGACAGAGAGAGAGGTCTTCTATCCACTGGTTCACTCTCCAGGTGGCTGCAACGGCTGGAGCTGTGCCGATCCGAGGCCAGGAGCCAGGAGCTTCTTCCGGGTCTCCCACGTGGGTGCAGGGGCCCAAGGACTTGGACCATCTTCTATTGCTATCCCAGGCTATCGCAGAGAGCTGGATCAGAAGAGAAGCAGCTGGGACTAGAACCAGTGCCCATATGGGATGCCGGTGCTTCAAGCCAGGGCTTTAACCCACTGCGCCACAGCGCTGGCCACAAATTGATAATTCTTACTGTTTCTTCACATTCTTAAGTGAAACTGGCTTGATTTGAACTGTGAGTATGTGGTGTGACTGATAGTTTTGTGTCACTCCTTTGACTCATCCCAAGGATCTGGCAGTTTTATACACAAATGCCTTTATAAGATCAGTGCAAATGTCCATACAGTGAAAAGACAAATAACATTGTGTTTTCTGAAAATGGATTTTACACTGAGAACTCCCCAAGTGTCTTGAGAATGCCTGCCCCCCTCCACCCCACACCAGGTCTGTGGACCACCTGTGAGAACAGCTGTCAGGCAGATTACTTAAGGATATGGAAATGGGATACTGACTATTAGCAGAAGACCAGCTATTGGCAAAGACAGCTCATTTTTATGCCTCAAAATTTACTGTGTTAAGGAAGCTACAGTTGATAGTTTGGCCACACATGAGCAACCTGCCATGAGTTTAGCCACTTTCCCATTATAGAAGCTACTGTGTATTTTTGATGGAACTTTTTTTTTTTCTAGGAGAAGACATCAACTTTGGAAAGTTTATCACAAAACCTTCAGAAGGAACAACACTAAGGGTGGAAGACCTTGTAAAACAGTATTTTCAAACTGCCGAGAAGGTAATTTCTTACAGTTCACAATCGTTTTTTCATTCCTAAAACAAATGTTTATTGAGCTCCTATCGTATACCAAGCACAATGCCAAGCCCTGAGAGGGGACTCTGAGGAGTGAGCCTCGCTGCCTCTCAGCTGGATCCACTCAGGAACACTGCAGCGGTGTTAATGACCCACGGCACTCCCTTGGCTCTAGCCAAAGGGCTCCGCAGATTCCAGAGCAGTATGTGACGGGTTGGCAGAAATAGCTGAATACAACCCAGTTCACATTTTGACTGATGGCCATCTCATAATAGCAGATTTAGTTTAGGATATGTGTAATTGATAGTTGAAGCAAAATGAATGCTCAAGATGTGTCTCTGAAGTAAGTAGGGTGACAGGCTTATTACATTGATGTGTAGTTACTGCATACCAAGAAAAAAATACTGCTTCAATGGTTAGCATCATCATGTGACTGTTGTTGTCCTCTTTTTATCTCTACATAAAGGTCTTAATCCAGGATTTGATTTGCTTTTCTTGCACTTGGGTGTAATTTCAGAATTACCTCATAAATGCAGTGATAGTGAAGCCCCTCAAACTTATTAGAAATTGAGTATCCATGTTCCAAAATGCTTGGAATCAGAAGTGTTTCAGATTTGAATTTTTTTTCTTTTAGATTTGTGAATATTTGTGTATATATAGTGACATATTTTGTGAATGGAACCTAAGTCTAAAAATGAAATTCCTTTATGTTTGATAAACATCTTAGCCATATAGCCTAAAAGTAATTTTACATATTCTTAGTGCATCTTTGTTTTGACTGAGACCCTTCATGTGAAATCAGTTATGGAATTTTCCACTTGTGGTGTCAGGTTGATGCTGAAGAAGTTTGGATTTTGGAGCATTTTGGATTTTAGGTTTTCAAATTAGACATGTGTAGCCTTTATTGTGAGGATATGCTACTCTGAGATCCTCTGGTTATAGTCTTTTCCTATTACTATTAAATCAAATTTCCATGAACTTAGTATAAAACAATGCAGATTTATTATCTTAGATTTCTGTGGTCAGAAAACTGACACAGGTCTCATTGGACTGAAATCAGGGTGTCAGCAAGGCTGTTCTCCCTTCTGGAAGCTCTTGGAGAATCTGTTTCCTTGCCTTTTCATTTCTAGTGGCACCTACATTTCTTGGCTCTTGGTCCCCTTTTTCCATCTGTAAAGCCACCAGTGTTGTATCTCTCTCACCTTTTTTCCACAGTTACAGCTCCTTTTGCCTCCTTCTTCCACATTTCAACACCTTTTTGATTACACTGGGCCCACTGGGGTATTTACAGCCCGCTAATTAGCAACTTCTGTTTCATCTGCAACTTTAATTTCCCTGTCATGTAACATATTCATAGGTCCCAGAGATTACACTGGTTAGCCTAATCTGCTGATCATCAGCTGCTGTTTCTGGACTCTTATCCCCCAGCCACCCAGGCCTCTGCATTTTCACCTGTCCTGCATTCCCCTCACATTTCTTGTTTAACTTTGTTTTTTTCTAGCCCTTAATGTTTATCAGTTGCTGTCCTGCTTTTGGAATTTTCTTTTGGTGACTAGATAACTTTTTTGTCTTTATACCCAGTAGTTAATATTCCAAAATTTTCTTCACTCTTATATAGTTATTTTGTAAGGAATAGATATCATTTCCTCATTCAGTGATTTGTTCTCATACAGAATGTGCAGCTGTCACTGCTAACAGAAAGAGGGATGGGTGAAGCAGTCCAAGAATTTGTGGATAAGGAAGAGAAAGATGCCATTGAGGAATTAGTGAAATACCAATTAGAAAAAACACAGCGATTTCTTAAAGAACGTCATATTGATGCCCTAGAAGATAAAATCGATGAAGAGGTGAGTAACCAATTTGGGTTTCCAGGTCTATTTAGACAGTTTCTCCTTAAGAGTAGCTCAGGCCGGCGCCACGGCTCACTAGGCTAATCCTCCGCCTTGCGGCGCTGGCATACCGAGTTGTAGTCCCGGTCGGGGCGCTGGATTCTGTCCCGGTTGCCCCTCTTGCAGGCCACCTCTCTGCTGTGGCCAGGGAGTGCAGTGGAGGATGGCCCAAGTCCTTGGGCCTGCACCCCATGGGAGACCAGGATAAGTACCTGGCTTCTGCCATCGGATCAGCACGGTGCACGGGCCACAGCATGCCGGCCGCAGCGGCCATTGGAGGGTGAACCAACAGCAAAAGGAAGACCTTTCTCTCTGTCTGTCTCTCTCTCACTGTCCACTCTGCCTGTCAGAAAAAAAAAAAAAAAGAGTAGCTCTGAGCGGATGGGCATTCGGCATTCGGTGTAGCCATTGCTGCTTAACATGTCATCCAATATGGGATTATATGGTTTGAGTCCAGCTTCTTCACTGCTGATTCAGCTCTGTGCTAATGCATACCTTGGGAAGCAGTAGATGGTGGCTCAAGTACTTTGGTCCCTGTCACCCACATCAGACATGCAGATTAGTTCTGCAGGCATTTGAAGATTGAACAGAAGATTTCTCTGCATCTGTCTACCTTTCAAATGAAACCAAAAAGAGCGAGAGAAGAAATAAGAGTAGCTTTGAGTTTTTTTCTGATAGACCACTATTTATTTAACCTCTCTTATTTGTTTAGTTTCCTTATCTTTACAATTGAGATGAAAAACTGAAGATTTATATAATAAGTCTATAAAGAACTGAGGACAAAATCTCACATGTTTGGTGAAAAATAAATGTTAGTTTTGTTTCACATAGATAGTGTCTTCTTTTGAAAATCCTGAAGTGCTTGAAAATGAACTTTGTAAGATGAAAAATTCTGTGCATTTCAGTTTTGTCATAATTTTTATCAACATTTTGAATTTTATCTACAACATGCATTCTTTCTAAGCATAAAGGCAATGGAACTATTACAGCAAAAGCTTTTTAGATTTGATAACAAATCTAAAGAGACTCTAAAAATACATGTTATCAATAGTAGTGTCTAGGTAGTTGAATTATAGGGGATCACTTTCTATATTTTCCATAGCCCACCTAAGCAAAAGAGCAAAACATTGTTTTAAAACATGTTAAATGTTTGTTGGCATGTCAAAAAACTATCAAAAAGCAAAATTAAAGGATACTGTTATGAAGAAAACGTTTTTATGTGGACAGAAAAAAGTTAATACTACTAATATTAAAGAGTTCTTATAAATCTTAAAAATAATAGAATATTTTAAAAAGATAATGAATAACGGATATGGATATTTGGTTCACAAAAGAAATATAAATGGCTAATAATACAGGAGCAAAGAGACTCAAATGTATTTTTTGTCAGATTGACAAGGTTTTGCAAAAAGTGGTATTTAGCACACTGCTGATAAGAGTTTTACATTTGAACAGCTTTACTGAAAAACAGTTTTGCAGTGTATATCAAACACCTTAAGAAAATTAGCCCATTAATTCAGCTATAGGAAATTTTCCCAAGAAAATAGTAAGAGATTTTTGTATGACATTTTTATCCACAATGAGGAATAAGTAGAAGTGTTTGGTATAATAAATTTTGGCACATTGACAAGGCAGAATGCTCTGCAACCATTTAAAATTAAATTTTTTAAGAACATGGAACAATATTTCCAATATAATATTAAATGGGAAAAGCATTCTAAGGATGCAGAACTATACACACTATGATCCCAGTTAATTTTCCTTTTTTTATGAGTGTTTCTGTACATCTAAGTAAAGGTTGAAAGAAAATATTCCAAACATGTTATCAACAGTAGTGTCTAGGTAGTTGAATTATAGGAGATCACTTTCTATATTTTCCATAGCCCATCTAAGCAAAAGAGCAAAACATTGTTTTAAAAACTTACTCCCTTCGACTTCCGTTTAAATTGTCTTAGTTATTGTGGTTCTCTTTAAACCTTATGATATCAGTGTGTAACTAGTATTCAATACTAGGTACTTTGAACATCCGGGCAGGTAATCCACACTCTAAAGCTAGTCATTCTCTGACACTTGTTATGTTGGATTTGTTCATTTTTTAGTACGGGTAGTTTCTTGTGTACCTGAAATAAGGCATGAGCATCGCAACCCAGAATAATGACTCCTGAGTTACAAAGTGTGAGAGTGTGAGTGTAGGTGTGTAGATGAGCCCTGGGTGGGTCTGCCAAATTCAAAATCAAAACCTTTATTTGCTGTTTACCTGTCAGTAAGTTATCTAACCTCTCTGTATCTCAGTTTCCTCATCTGGGTATAATGGGCGATGATAATAAAACCCCCTTCGTTATTGTGAGGATTGAAATAATCAATATGTGTAAATTCCCTAGATACTAACTCTAAGTCTGCTCAGTTTTTCACTGTCTCTTATTTCTCTCCTATGAATGACTTAGCACTCTTGTTAAGTGCTGCACACCACCTAGAACACTATTCTGTATTTTGTCATTTTTAAGAGATAATTATTTCTCTGTTTCCTCTCTGCTGAATCACAACACACATGCTGATATTTCTTTCAACTTGAAAGCAGGCACACTCTCAATTCCATTTCCCTTAAACTACTACCCTGTTCCTTTGTTTCTCTTGTATAGCAGAATTGCTTCAAAGAGTTCTCTCTATTTGCTGACTTAATTCTTCTCCCTCCACTTTCACTTAATTCCAGCTATTCAGGCTTTCTGCTCCATCATTCCTGTGATCAGGGTCACTGGTGACCTCTCTTACTAAATCCACTGTCAGTTTTCTGTCTGAAATCTCACGACCTTTTTTTATCATTGGCTACCAGGACTGTCCCCTCTTCTGTTTTTTTTCTGCCTTTATGGCTGTGTATTCTCAGTTTCTGTTGTTGATTGTTCTCATGTTTCCAGCCTGTTAAATTAGAGTCCCCAGAACTCAGTCCTTGGATGACCCCTTCATATACCTGTTTCCTTTGTGATCTTATCCATCTTTCTGGGTTTGGTGATGACTTTCAGAAGCCTAGCCCAGGGCTCTTCTCTCAGCTCAAGACTTTCACAGCCAGCAGCCTGCTAGACGCTTGTGCTTGTATGTTTAATAGCCATCTCAACCTTTTATTACTGTGTCTCATTCTGAATTGTTGATCCTCACTCTCTGCTCTCCCTGTGGAGTTCTTGTGGAAGTGCCATTCAGAACTTTACAGTCATGCTTAATCCTTTTTCTGTCACCTATATCCTGACTATCTATAAATCTTTTTGACCTGACTATATCTGACTACTTCATTTTTTTTAAGATTTTTTTTAACTTTTATTTAATGAATATAAATTTCCAAAGTACAATTTATGGATTACAATGGCTTCCCCCCCATACCATCCCTCCCACCCACAACCCTCCCCTTTCCCACTCCCTCTCCCTTTCCATTCACATCAAGATTCATTTTCAATTATCTTAATATACAGAAGATCAGCTTAGTATACATTAAGTAAGGATTTCAACAGTTTGCTCCCACACAGAAACATAAAAGAAAAATAATAGATGATTTTTTTTAAAATGATGATGAAATCAGAGCAGACCTATTGTCATGTTTAATCCCAGTGAGAGTCAAGTTGGGAGTTGATAATTTCTTTCTTTTTTTTTTTTTACAGAGGATCAGTTTAGTATGCGTTAAGTAAAGATTTCAACAGTTTGCACCCCCACAGAAACACAAAGTGAAATATATTGTTTGAGTACTCGTTATAGCATTAAATCTCAATGCACAGCACATTAAGGATAGAGATCCTACATGAGGAGTAAGTGCACAGTGACTCCTGTTGTTGACTTTACCAATTGACACTCCTGTCTATGGCATCAGTAGTCTCCCTATGCTCCAGTCATGAGTTTCCACGGCTATGGAAGCCCTCTGAGTTCTCAGATTCTTATCTTGTTTAGACAAGGTCATAGTCAAAGTGGAGGTTCTCTCCTCCCTTCAGAGAAAGGTACCTCCTTCTTTGAAGACCTGTTCTTTCCACTGGGATCTCACTCGCAGAGATCTTTTGCCAGAGTGTCTTGGCTTTCCATGCCTGAAATACTCTCATGGGCTTTTCAGCCAGATCCGAATGCCTTTAGGGCTGATTCTGAGGCCAGAGTGCTATTTAGGACATCTGCCATTCTATGAGTCTGCTGAGTATCTCACTTCCCATGTTGGATCACTCTCCCCTTTATTTATTCCATCGGTTAGTGTTAGCAGGTACTAGACTTGTTTATGTGCTCCCTTTGACTCTTAGTCCTTTCATTATGATCAATTGTGAACTGAAATTGATCACTTGGACTAGTGAGATGGCATTGGTACATGCCACCTTGATGGGATTGAATTGGAATCCCCTGGTATGTTTCTAACTCTGCCATTTGGGGCAAGTCAGCTTGAGCATGTCCCAAATTATACATCTCTTCCCTCTCTTATTCCCACTCTTATGTTTAACAGGGATCACATTTCAGTTAAATTTCAACACTTAAGAATAACTGTGTATTAATTACAGAATTAAACCAGTCATATTAAGTAGAACAGACAAAAAAACTACTAAGAGGGATAATGTATTAAGTTGTTCATTAACAGTCAGGGCTATGCTGATCAAGTCACCGTTTCCCATAGTGTCCATTTCACTTCAACAGGTTTCCTTTTTGGTGTTCAGTCAGTTGTCACCAATCAGGGAGAACATATGGTATTTGTCCCTTTGGGACTGGCTTATTTCACTCAGCATGATGTGTTCCAGATTCCTCCATTTTGTTGCAAATGACTGGATTTCGTTGTTTCTTACTGCAGTATAGTATTCTAAAGAATACATATTCCATAATTTCTTTATCCAGTCTACCGTTGATGGGCATTTAGGTTGGTTCCAGGTCTTGGCTATTGTGAATTGAGCTGCAATAAACATTAGGGTGCAGACCGCTTTTTTGTTTGCAGATTTTATTTATTCATTTTG